TTTTCTCACTTGCAAATATTAGAAGTGCTTTTGATTTTTAAAACGTTAGTATCCCAAAATAGCCTTACTGGTCAAATTGACCAAAGATAAAGTGTTAAATATTTTGTAAAAAAAAAAAAACAAACAAAAAACCTCTTGGCATAATTTTAAACCCAAAATAAGCTCAGTTATTTATTCAGTTTTATACTATATAGAAACTAAACTACATTGAGGGGACAGGGACAGGGAAGGAAAACCATGGTGGGTTGTGGTGTTTACAGTCTTTTTGAAGTCCCATAGCTAAAGACAACTATTGTTATCCATCTTCCCTTTTGCTGTTACAGTTTCTAATGTGTACTGTATGTATTAATATTGCACAAATTGTGGAGAAATATATGGTTTATTTTTCACAGCAGAATCTCACAAGACTCACTTCCTTTACAAGTGTTACAATTTAAATATTTACCAAACTGTTTTCATAATACTGGGAGCCGGCTGCTTTTTATGAATTTGTGCTGACTATTGACATTATTTACTGTATAAATAATTTATCATTTGTACTATTGTATCATAATGTCTGTATCTTTGTGTCATTTTTCCCGAGCAATGTCACAAATGTGATATTTAATAATGCCATCAGAACAGTGGAAAGACAAGGGGTTTGTAGGTGACTGGTCAGAATTAAAATTGTATTGCTTATGTTCCAGCCGTGTTGCTTTTTCAAGACTCTGCGTAGTGTTTATAATCCCATTCAAAAAACTGTTGCTGCCATGCTTGATTTAGTTTTCAAGAAAGCTGATGGATTGGTTGAGATGATTTAAGGTTTGTGCTGACAGTCCTAGGTGCTAGGAGAAATCTAACGGTTATTGAGAGTAATGCTTCTTGTACGTTGTCAATGTGATTTCTTCGATGCATTCATCACTTTCCTGGGGCACGCCTGCTCTTACTGTGAGAAAGGAGGGTTTCTTATAGATCACTTAAATCGGAATCAGTTGAGACCTTACTAACTCAATAAAAATGAAGACTTGTTGTGTTGCAGGTGACTGAATTGCTTCTTTAAACCACATTACCCTTTAAACAGCACTTTTGGAGGGATGATCAAGTACTGTCTTGGTGGAGGCTTCCATTTTTATGTCAAGACAGAAGTCTGGGGAAGGCAAGACTTTTAAAGCCACCGCTCATGGAGTTGGGGAACTGTGACAAAACTGACTGGGAGTCCTCGCTCCCCGTTTTTGCAATAGTTGAGTCCTGCGGTGTTGGCTCTGCCCCGTTGATCAAGTGGCCTTGCAGGTGGGGTAGCAGTGAGCCTGCCTCCAGCTGGGAAGTGATTTCAGCTTCTAATTCTGGATGGTTTAAATTAAAGGGTACTTCATTAGCAGGCTATTTCAAGAGCTACCTCTGCAGAGCCCATGCAGGTTTCCTGTAGTTAGGGTTTGCTGCCAATCAGACTGATCACTAATCAAATACTTAATTTCTTAATGCTGAAACTGCAGTGGTGCTAGAGACCTGACTATCGGAAAGGCAGCCATGGGGGAAAAAGTATCTGTTTTGGTTTCAGATCTGTGATACAGAGCTGGCTGGGGATGTTGTGCAAACCCACTGCCCCAGTAACGCTCCGGTTTCCCTGGAGAATGAGGCTGCCTCCGGTCAGGTCTTTGATTCATTTTGCTTCTGTGTTTGTAAGGAAAACAGAAAAACCTCCTTTGCCAGGGGTGGCAGCCCAGATACCTGTTGCTTTTTGTACCTCTTGTTCTTACAGAAGGATGCTTTCTGCTCCTGTGCAGGAGGGCTCTTCTGTGCATGTGTGTTTATTGCTCCTCTGGCTGTCTCTCTTTTTCTGTGTGATCAGTACTTCCTCGCTGTTTTACGCTGGCCTCTTGAAATTGCACGTTTTAAAATAAAGCTGCTTGCTACAGGAAAGATTTAGGAAGGGCTCAAAGTGGAAACTTTTGTGATGACTCTATAATACTCTTAAAAAGGAGCTGAATACTGCAGGCTGTTGCAAGCTGAGGGGGTGCTGGAGGGAGCCTGAGCTGATAAAGCCTGTTGTGAGAGAGGTCTGGCTGTGGCTGAGCCTTCCTCTGACCTTGGGCAAGCTGCTCTGCCCCTGTCCTGGGTTTCCTCTTCCTCTTCTGTGAAGTGAGGTGGTATTTGCCTGCTTTTGCGGAGGAAAAGGGTTATCTGGATAAAATATTATCTAGAGGCTTGCCCTCATCCGCACCGGTGTTGCCAAAGTATTTTTGCTGAATATGTACATTGCCGTTACCTCTTGTTTGTGCTGGGCCGAGTGGTGCAACTCTGCTCTTCCGCTCCTTTTCATCGAACGGTGAGAAAATGGTTTGGGCCAGCTGGTGCTATGGCTTTGGCAAGACTTCTGCAACTGCCTGCAATCTATGTTTTGGAGAACCAACATGATTTATACAGCCCCTCACGTTAAAAACTTCCGCCTTTTTAAAGTTAGCTGTCGTCCGCCTTCCAGGTAATCTCCTCCCTGTATTGTTGGGACACGAACACTGGTTTCGTAAAGAGAGAAGTTTGGGAGCTGGGAGTGATAAATAGTGAAGAGCCAGCGTTGTACACGGTGGTAGCAATCCTGTCTCTTCGTGTTTTGCTGTCAATCGATTATACCCTGTAATTGTTGAAGACTTGGGGTTTCAATGAGTGGAAGTTCCCTTTGGCGTTTCAGACATCCCTGCCAGTTACCCATTAGGGTGGTTAATTGGCAGCAGTCTGGTGATCAATAGGGGATTGGCATCCTACCAGTGTAAAACACAACCGAGTGGTTTGCAGAGATTGAAATAGTAAGTTATGAACAGGGGAGCAGGGAGATACCTTGGGGGCAGATAGCACATCCTCTGCCTTCGCTGGGGGGAGCCCTGAGCTGTGCCAAACCTGGAGCGAGTAGCGGGACCCTTGGATATTTGGTAAATACCTCTCTGAAGAGATTAGGGGAAAATCTATCCTTTCCCCAGTGGCTGTTTAATGTGGGGTGGGGCAGGGAGGTGGTGCAAACTTTATTCCTAAGTAAACTGGTGACTAGCAGAATTGTTAGCTGTAACATGCATTGAAACTCTGGTTGAAAATGCCATTGAAGTGCAAAATATTTTTAAAGCACCTGAACATCTTCATGGCCACCAGACAGCTGCTGCGTGCAGAGCACAGATACTCACAACACATCCATGTGCGGAGGGATGAAGGCGCCTGTGCTGCTAGAGACGGATGAAATGCTGGGGGTGGAGGGAGTAGGTGTTAAAAAAAATCATCTGTGGCTGTTCAGCAAACACTTATAAAAGCAGCCTGGACCCAGTACCTGATCTGTTCTCAACACTTGTGCCGCTAGTTGAGCAACTGTGTTTCCATTCTCAGGTGAAAGAAAATCGATGACATTTCAAATAGCTGGAATAAAGCAGTAGTAAAGGTGGAGTTTGTCTTCTCAGCTCCCTCCCTGCTGCTGCCTGACATGAAGTCTCACGGGGACATCGGTGCTGCCAGCTTTGCAGTTTGAAAGCTTAAATATGTGCTGGGAGATCCTCACAAGCAGGTATGGCATCGTGGTTTTAAGCTCTGTTTAAACACTGCACGCTGGAGCTGCTGTAGATCAGATCAGAGCTCGATCCAGCCCGGGGTCCTGTTGCTGGCAGCAGAGACTTTCCTGGAGCAAAGACACGGCCTTCGGTAGTCACCGGTACAGCTGCCTAATAACCCCTTTGTGAAACCACTTACTCTCCTGGCCTCCGTGACGGCCTGTGGGATCACGCTGCACAGCTGAATAAGGCAGGGGCTGGAGGAGAACTTCGTGCCTGGCTGCTGGAGCAGATGGAGGCGAGGGCTGAACGGCCTCCGTGGGATGCTGACTCAGTGTGGACTTGTCCCACCAGCCGTGCTATCACTAACCCACGTGGGATTCCCCACGCTGTGGCTGAACCACCTCTAGTAATTTCTAAGACAGAAAATCATTAGACACCTTCTTTGTGCCCCACTGGGGTGGGAACACGGAACCTGTGAAAATCAGGCAATGGGGTCCATGTTCTTGAAGGGCTTTTTGGCCAAGGAATGAAATTTGGTGGTTTAACCAAGCTGAAGGGAGCCAGTTCTGCCTTGGTGTAACAGCACATATGGCCTAGGAGACCGTGGGCTGGCTGGGGTCGTGTTGGGTGACAGCAATGGGGTTTGTTTTTTGGTTTTTTTTTTTTTTTCTTTTTTAATGTCTTCATTAGCAAGTCTGGCACTAAATGTAGTGATATTCTCCGAGGTGAATTTGGGTACTTAAATATCTTGGCCTGAATAGAGGTATAAAAATAGAAGCCTACAGCAGTGAGATGCTTCTGCTGATCTTCCCTCTGAAGGACGAGACTGAATCACTTGCACCCTGCCGTGAAAGCGGGTTGCATTGCACCCTCGCTTCTTTGCAGCCTCCCTCCTGGGGGCTCAGGCCTGGTTTCGGTGGCCAAAGGATGGTTTCTAACAGGATTTGTGCCCTTAAGATGGCCAGGCACCGGAAATTTGTTGCCTCAAGCCTAGCCCTTGTAACCTGCTGATCTTGTGCTCCGCAGCCTGTTACGCTGCAGTGGAGGGTGCTGGGTGCTCTCTGCAGGCTGGTGGGAGCTGCAGTTCTGTGTTGGTTTTTGTTTTTTTTTTTTTTTTTTTTCCCCTGTGCTCCAAATGTGGAGGTTGTTTCTGGGTTTGCAAACACCCATGAGTGCCTCAGCTCTTGGGGTTTGAGCTCACCCATGTTTGCTTCCCAGGGGACTCCCCAGCTGGTGGGAAAAGCCTCGGGAGTCCCCTCTGCAGAGTGCACCCTGTGGATGAACGGTGAGAAGGAGGACGAGCATCCCTTGCGGGAGTGCGGGCTGGGCGGCCTTTGCTTAGCTCTTTGCCGTGTTCCTGCCTGGGGTTTGCATGGCCTGGAAGATGTTCAAAATTGCTGTTGGTGGCTGCTCCAGACATGCCGCTGGTACAGGTTTGTGTGCTTGGACCTCGCCTCTCCAGTTGGGCTGGGTGGTGGGTGCAGGAGGGGTGGTTCATGGTGTTCTCATGGGGGACTCAGTTCCTTGAGTGTGTTCGAGGGGCACCCTGGAGATGTCCTGCGTGGGCGCTGCCACAGCCACCTGCTCGTCCAGCTGCTGCTTGGTGCCGTCCACTGGCACTGCCAGACTAAAGGGAAAAGGCCCAGAGGAAGGTGGTTCTTGGTGGTGCTCCTGGATGCTGCGGGTGCAAGCCCAGCTCTGTCACCGCTGATGCTGTTCATTCTGTGTAACCCCCATCTCCCACCCCAGCTGTCCTGTCCTCCTGTCACCCCCAGACCCATATCTGGGACTGTGGATCCAGGGTGTTTAGCCCCCCCGTCTCCCCAGGCAGCGGGTCCTGGCACGATGCTCTGGTGACCTTGGCACAAACGGGTCATCCTGGGGCTGGTTTGCGATGGGCTGAAACGCTGCCAGTGATGAGCCCAGGTAGAGTTGGAGCTGAAGCTCCAATTTTCTTCAAATCTGGCTCTTCTGTGCTTCTGTCGTTTTGTGTTTTATTTTGCTTTTTTTTTTTCCTCCTTCAGAATATTTCACAGGAGGCTGCTGCTCCTGAACTGACACCGCTGCTGGGGAGCAGTTGCTGTCAGCTTTAATCCGTCTGTGAGACTCTCGTTTTCAGATGGAGATAACTTCTAGCTGCTGCAATACTGCTGTTGTAAAACAGCCTTGCTAGCCTCAGGACAAAGACAGTTTATCAAGCGCTCGCTGATGCAGATTTCTGGCTCAGTCCCTCCCTGTGAGGCAGCTCGGCTGGCTCATGGCTCTGGGAGGTGTTTGCTCTCAGGGGCAGCAACAGGGCAGCCGGCACCATTGCATTGAGCAATTTTCCATGTAGGAACAGGAAAAACTTGGGTGTCCTTCATGTAATCTTGTTAGCTAATTGTTATTAGCAATCTCCAACATCTTCCTAAAGGTTGAAAACTGCCACGAGAGGGCAGGAGCTGATGCTGCTGTTTCTCGTTATGGTAGAAAGGGCTGCAAATGTCAGTTCCTAAAGGCTATCCAAATGATTTTCCTTTTTCTGGAGGGTTTGATTCCCAGGCTGCTGTTCAGTCTGTGTCCTTGGCTGTCTCCCTCCCAGGGTGGCTTCCACAGTGGTGGCAGGAAAACTCTCCCATGAAGTGAGCATGGTCCTGCTGGGCAGCTCTCCCCAAAGCTCCTCCAGACGGCCTGTGCAGAGGAGGGCTTCTGCAAAGCCCTCAACCGTCTCACAGGCTTCATTCACCTCCAATGGTCTCACTCGGTTTTGATGGCCTTGAACCTGCATCCTGTGTCAGGACACATGTTCTGAATAAAGATTTTTTTCCTGTCCATCTTGAATTAGGAGGTTAATGGCCAATTTCACTGTCTGGGAGAGACTTAAGCGTAACAAAACAGGAGCTGCAGCGCTAGCTGACAGCCTTGCGCTGCCATCTGTGCTACAAGGGGTTGGGAACTTCAGTCCGGTTTTGAATAAAAGGGAGAATGATTAACTAGTAAACGAGCAGGGTGGCTACAGCTGCCTGAAGAGTGGGTGAAAGGAAATTACTTTGAGCCTCCACTATAGCAAGGCTGGGTTTTTCTGGGTTTTGGCTGTTCTTAAAGCATGGGTTCTTTCAACCTTTAACACAGCTGCAATGGGTCATAAATCCCTTCCTTATTAATGTCACCCACTCCGGCAGCACAGTGTCGTGTCTATCTTTACTCCTCGGTCATGAGAGCAGAGATTCTCTCCAGGGTGAAACAGCTGCAAACGCTCTGCCATGCCTGAGTACCAAAGACTTAAACCAGAACGTTATAAAGGCAGCAGCAAGCCTGTCTCTGGGAGAAGAGCATGTTTGTGAGAGATACCAACAGTTGCCTCTCGGAACAAAGGAACGGCATTGAACTCGGGAAACACGTACTGAAAACATCACCCCACACGTGCCCTTGTGTGAGGAGCAAACTGTGTCAGACCAACAAGCTCCGGCAGTGAAGCGTTCACAAGCTAAACACATTAAGGCCTTGAAGAAGGTATGTAAGGTTCTTCACAAACATGCTTGAGACACTGAGGAGTCAAACAAAAACCTCAAAAAAACCCCAACCAAACCCAGAGACAATAGGCAAACAGCCCTAAAAATGCAGGTAGCGGTGTGGGATCTGCTTATAGAGTCACATATCTTAAATACTGTTTTAGGGAGTTTGGGTTTTTTTTTTTTTTTTAAAAACCCTTGCTTTTCACTGTTTTCTTTTAACCTTTCTTCTGAGGTCCCGGCAGCTGGGCTGTGAACGGTGAAGCTGTGCAAATGCACGTGTTGGTTTTGATCGGTCTCAGTGTGGTAAGCATCCAACTACTCGTTTGAAACAGGAGCAATGCAGATCGGTCGTAGTACCAGACTGCAAAGCTGTGTGTGAATAAATTCACTGCGCCCCTGTGGGCACGAAGTTTGGGCTTTATCTGGGTTTAACAGGTTTCTCATGACTAGAAACTTTGTTGTGCAGTTTTGCTCTAATTGGACTGGGGGCAGGTAATTGTGCTCAAGGGGAAAAAAGATACTTAAGCAGTAGTATGTTTAATGTCTGCCTTTCAAGTATTTCAAACACAGATATTTATTCTGCTACTGTAGCTAACTGCTTCCCAAATACTTTTGAAAAGGAAACAGAATTCCTTGCGTCTCCTCCGAGCCAACAGGAAATACTTATTAATTTGGATTCCAACATGACTCAGTTCAGAGATTACAACAGTTGCCAAAACAACTGGTGGAAGAGCTTACTGGAAGTGTAAAATCAACAAAAACAAGATAGGAAAAAAGTAAGAGATGAAAAAATTATCTGTAACCATGTTTGGAAAAGTATTTATAAATAGCATAAAAGATGCTAATGCTCACGGCAAAATTACAGTGATCACATTATCTTTTCAGAAATTATATTTATTCAATCACATCGCTCAGCACGAAATAATAACTCTCTTTAACTGGATGCTTTATTTGATACGTGTCCTGGAGGCTCTGCAGTTCAACACTGTGTGTCACTACTTGTATTTCTACAGTTTCAAGGTCTTGGTAGTTCACTTATAGAGTGGTATCATGTTAAGTCATTCTCACAGTCATCTCTTAGTATTTGCAGTCAAACACAAGAGATTACGTGCCCAAACTTAAACATGAAAATGACTAAACAATTATTCATTTTGTTGTAGCATACATTTTTCTCTTTTGTACCTGTAAGAATAGCAGATCTTGGATGATTTGGGACTTAGAAACATCCATTCCAGCACAAATAAAAACCCTAGCAGCAGAAAGACAAACAATTATATTTAGACAACTGGGTTTATTCAGCCTAAAAGAAGAGCACTAACATTAGCTTAGAGGAGGATTCACTGAAAGGCCATGGTAAGACATCAGAGAAGGCGAAGCTCTTCAGACCGAGGCCAGCTCTGTGCCCTCGTGCTGCAGACACCTGCGAGCTTTGGAGCTCCTGTCACACACTAATAACCAACTTCGTTTCAGTCGTCCTCTGAGGTTATGCAATGGGAAAGAAAACCTGAATGTAGCAGACTTGAACACCACCACGTTGCTTTTTTACTGCCTTTCTTTTGATAAGAAAACCAGCTAAGGAAAGCCATGGTATGCTATCTGTGTAATGTACTGGCTGGAGGGACCTCGTGAAGGGAGGAGAAGGTCCGTTCTGCTGCTCCCCTGTGCAGTGCGGTGCCTCTGGTGCCTGGTTTGGAGCTAAACGCTGCTTACGAGTGCACACATAGCTGGCCTACGGAGACTCTACTTTCTTTGCAGAGCCTTCTCTAAAAGTTTATTTTTTTAGTCAATATCTGCGCTTAAAATGCAATTTGTTCTACCAGAAGTTAAAACCATGGAGCAAGGATATGTTTAACACCATCGTCTCTCTAACTCCTCTAAAATAAACTGCTGTCCTTTTTTCTCCTTCCTGAAGCTTGATGCAGAAATAAAATCTGGAAATGGAAGAGTCATCATCTTGCTCTAAATGCAAAAGCCCAGGTTGCTTCACTGAAAAATGTGGAAAGATTTGTTTCTTCAGTGCATGAGCTATTTTAATTAGCCATACAAACTCTAAAGGATTATATGGTATTATAAAGAAAACTGCTGTTGCTTTTACAGAGGGAAGCACGTGGCACAGAGGTGTGTGTGCATTTCACTGGAACGTTTCCATATTGCCTCCTTTTTGGAAGGTGCAATAATTTCAACTTCCCATTTCTACCACAAAAAAAATTAGTAAAAAGAACTGGGTTCGCATTGATGTTTTAAACACAGGAAAACTGGTACAACTATAAACTTTCCTATTCTTTAAGTATATAAAGAGTGTACAAAATGCTGTTATAAAAAATATTTTGTTACAGGTCTTATTTTGAGATAGTCTGATATTACTCATAAAAATGCTAAATATTATTTGATGACATTAATTTACATAATACTTCAACCTGTATGCTTACTGAAAGGATTACACTTAGGTAATTATTGCAAAGCCTTGTGTTTCTTTTGGAACAACGGTCTCAAGTGAAATTTTCTCAGTTTAGTCAGATACTCATTTCCCTTTGCCACAAAAAGCCACAAAGTGCTTAACTTCTCTGTGAGCCTTTGAACATCTCAAGCCTGAGTTCAATACCTATGGATCCCTTCTGTAACAGGCACCAGAGAAGGGTTCTGCATATCGCTCGGGCTCACGTCATAGCCCAACTTCTTCATATCTTTGGTCACTACGTTGAAGGAAATGGTCACAAAGCCTTGAGAGCGCACCCTTGTTACTAGAAGAAAGAAGATGTGAATAAAACTGGTTTAAAAGAGGTTTTTGAATAGTTGTTGAACTCCTCACATATCCAGGTAGGACTGTTCTCTGCAAGAACAACTAGTCTTTTTTATCCACAGAAGGTGGATGGCCAAGCTGTGGCCTGCTGTTGGGCAAGAGTTACAGGCAGGAGCTCCCAGGAACTTACCTTCTCTTCCTTCTCCCTGTGCTACCACTCTGGGGTCAGTAAATTCCGGGCGTCTCCCTGTGAACCAACTTGGAGAAGAAAATAGAAAATAATTAATTGGATACATTCACTAGTGTTTAGATTTGATACAGTTCATTATAGGCATGTTAAAAAAACAAAGGGGGGGGGTTTAATGAGTTTTGAAGACTGATTCACTTTATTGCTGATCTACTTTGATCAAAGATAAGTTTTGTCTAAGGAAAAAAATGAAACCAATTTCATACACATTATGTTAAATCCAAGTTATTTCTGGGCTAGATAGAATCTCTCTATGGCAAAGATGTTTTTGAAACTGATTCAGTTCTTGATTACCCCGCGTAACAGAGAGGCTAAAGTACTTTAAATACATCAGAGGTGCAAAAGTATACAAATTGTAGAATCTATGCTCTAAAAAGGGCATCATAAAGAGACAAAAAATAAATCTATTGAATCCTGACTGTCGGGCACAGAGATTCCCCCACTGACTCCCACCCAAAGCGCTCAAGTACCACAAGGCTGGCTCTGTGTAAAGGTAGGCTCCGTTGGTACAGGCAATCCACAACCGAACAATCAGCTCACAGATCATTCAGACTGTACTTAAACAATACAACGGAAGGAAAAAACATGAATACCCTCAGTTGCTGTGTATAGACTGCTACTTCAGAAGCAATGTGTGTATAAACAAGACAAAGGTTACAGCAAATGCATTCCAGATGGAAGAAAAGGTAGAACTGGGAATTGTTTTTCATGTTTGGCCTTTGCTTTCCAGGCTGCTCTTAATGTGGCTGTCCTTCAACAAAAGCCCCTAGTTACAGTAAGATTTAGGGATGGACTGCAGCACGCCTCCTCAGAGCCCAGTGACAACTAAAATGCTCAGTAAAATTAGTCTAAGTAGTGCCTCTGCAAGTCACGTCACTGACATGAATCAACCTGTGCAACACGGAGCTGCCATGCAGTACAAGAACTTACGTATCAGTCTGCTCTGCTGAAATTAGCTCTTTTTCAAACCAACAGTGTTTAAATGTGAGGATGAAAAAAAGACAAGTTAGCATTACTGCAAGCAGGTAGTTAACACGATTTAAGAAAGCTCTTCAAAAGACCTAGACACCTAAAAATGTGATTTTACCTTCAAAACTATCTGGTTATGATATGAAGTATTCACACATACCAGTGAGTAGCTGGATATACCTTGACTAAAAGCAAGACGAACTTTAAAAAAAAAAAGTCTTTAATTATTACCTTGTAAACTTCTGCAGTCTAGATGTGGACTCTGGAACAAACATAGCGATGGTTCTTGTATGCCTAAAACAAACATGAGACGCACAGAACTTAAGAAATGAACCAAACAGCACTGTTAAGACTTCCTATATTTAGAAAGGTACCAGAATTTCAGACACATCAGACCACTGAACATCTCAAAATATAAAACTTTCTCTTCTATAAAGAAAGGGTTGGTTTGGATAGGAAGAGTGTATCTTCCTCCATTACCAATGGTGGGAATAAAAGCTTAGCATGTGCTGAGAGTGATGGGGGGCAGGTACTGTGCTTCATACTTGGGCTGTCTACATGCCAGATTTGACTTCACAGTTGTCTACAGGATTACCAAAAATTATTTGATATCCAGGGGCTGCTGCTAGAAAATCCATGCTCTTTGTACCGAACAGACAAGACACTGTAAGGAGATATGGGAACATTTCTGAAACAACACAGTAACTGGAAAAAAATTTCTGTTTCAGTCCTGAAAGACAGGTTGTCACCTCACCTTCCGGGTGTGAAGGGAACATGAACAGCTCCATAACCTCTGACCACATCGTTTCCAAAAAAGTCAGGTCCGTAGACGCTCACGACAATCTGTGGCCCTGCAAATGAAGCGTGTGTGAGAGAGGTGCCTGGTCTGCAAGCTGGATCCCACCACCCCCAGCACTCACAGCCGGATGGGTTCGTGCTCTTGAAGGTAATGTCGATGGGGAAGTTCCAGACGAGCGTAGTGGGTGCGACGTCGCTCTTGGAGGTGATCTGGGAGATGCCCTCCTCCAGGCCCTGTGGGGACAATGCGCCATGAGCCAGGGGCCTGCGCTAAGCCCATTAAACACAAGCTGCCGGTGGGCCTGGCAGGCAGGCTGGGTTTCAGGGGCGCACAATGGGGCCCTACCGCTGTGGGAACCCAGTCTTGGCCATAGACGAAGCAGAACTTGCAGTAGAGGTCGTCAAATCCGGGGAACTGTGGGAGAGAGAGGCTGTGTTGGTAGGGAATTACTGGGGCTGAGGGCAGCCTGCACCACCATGACTAAGAGCCAGCCCGCGTTGCTTGGGTCGGGGCTGAGGCCGGGCTGGGTTAGCGGCTCTGAGGCCCAGCCCGCC